CTTTTTTTTTTCTTTTTTAATTTGACGCCGTAAATTATCAACATGCAACAAAGTGAATACAACAACATGATGATTTTCTTTATTTATATATGATATACATCTGACAAATAATTGAAATATTATATACGAAATTGACGTACGAAATTTACAAAAGTTGATTTTCTTTTTTTTTACACATAATTACATGTAGCGTTTAATATTTAATAAAATATCAAAGAAAAGAGAATTAATATTACATATTACTTTTGACTTATCTTATAAGTTAAAGCGTCCTCGTAGATCGTTGTTATATTCGTTGTTAGATTAGGTTAATGCTCTTCGACCTCGTCCCGAAATAACAGTGCACGCCCTCGTTGCTACGTTTTGTTCGCTGCTTGTCTATCAATGTCCTAGAGTGAACCGTATAGACCGTACAGTAAGAATAACACACATACACACGAAAATAAATCCATGTGAAGCAGTTAATAAGCGTGACTAATAAAGTGATTAATATAGAGCGAGCCAAAAATTAGAGCATGATTATAGTAAAGCATGACATAACATAACAGCAGAAACTAATAAATATTTCTATATAAAAATATTTATTAGTTAATATTTTTTTAGTCAGAATAACTAATATATTCATTCATCACGGAATACCTTCTATGTAGATATTGTGATAACGAAAATTCCAATTTCATCATATTAATCATCTCCTGCGAGCACGTCAAACAACTCTTGCTGCAATGCGATGAATTTTATATATATTTTACGTACAATGATACTGCCTCTACTCTATCTGTTAGCGCTACACAATAGTGAAGTAAATTTCATTCGACAGTACTAAACAATAACCATTCTCTTCACACATCAGGCCTTACTACCGCTCCATTTACAGTTTATCGGTTAACCTTGCACGTGATTCTTGCAAGGTACTTCCGTCCAATATATCTGTGCCACGCGTTTTTTCTATAATGAAAAAAAATAAAATGCCCATTTGGTTCAGTGGACACGTGAAAATAATGTAAAACAATGGGCATATTTGACTTTATTTCAATGAAGCTAACATTACAGCCGTTTAGTCTTAAAGCGCAGACACACATTTCCGTATAGAATATTTTTGTTCCTAACTATTTTATAATGATTTTATTATATATCTATTTTTTAGGTAAACTATGAAAATAATTATACTATAATTTAAAATCGATTTTATCTTATGTATCTGGTATTTAAAATATAAGAAATGGATAGATGTAAAAATGGGTGATTTGAAATAAAAACCAAAATAATTATTTTTAATTTAAAACACTCTTTAGCCTAACAAAAATTTAAAATTCTTAATTATTGAAATATATATTTGACATTGTAAATTGAAAAACAGATAACTTTTATTATGATAATTGATAATTTTCAATTAAAATTGCTTTAATTAATTATTACAAGCACATCAGATAGTCAACAAAATTTTACGCAGATAAAGATCTTAGATCTTTGATCTTCTCATTTAATGTATCATTAGAAAAATAGAGAAGGAACAAGAACAGAAATATAAGTTTCCTTTCTTATCACGTTGAAGATGATAGCCGGGGTTAAACGAGGCGTGACGGAACTCAAGCTATGTGCAAACGAACGACAATGATCTTGACCTCGCGATACATACGAATAGCCGTGTACTCGCGACCGAGGCCACCTCGTATATGCCGCGATAAAGGGGGGAAAGTTACATGTCGTCGTCATTAATAAACATGAAAGCACATAGCATTAACAATCGTATGGGATCGCAATTCGCGTTCGACGTTTTATGTGCCACGTAAACGATAAACGCACGAATCACGCTCCCAATTTCGACGTAAGCAGCTTGAAGGCGCAATGATAAACTATTTTTAATATTAGTTTACGAGTTTATACCACGTATCGAACGAGGTTCACATTGTAATAGACTATACTGTCATGTATTTCAAGATATTTATACGATGTTCTACGATATTAAAATATGTACGATGTTAAAATATATTTATCAATTCTAAAACGCCTGCAGATTTTTTGATATCCAGCGAAAATCTCCTTGAAAAATTTGTCAGATTTTTTTTACATAGAATATTTTGAAAAAAATCTGTTTTTATTATAATAAATTTTATAGTCAGATTGCTCAAATTCGTATTTTATATATTTCTTTTTCTAACTCTTGTTTCCCTCAGAGAAAATGCGAAAATTTACAGTTTTGAATAAAAAATAATTTTCCGCGACAGTGCACTTACGTATTGCTTCTCTATTTATTTCCGTTGCTGTCTATATGCTGTCTCTTTGCATTTACGCAAAATCATTTTGCAACACAAAAGTTAGCGGATATAATTTAAGTCACGCGAACGAGACTGCACAAACTGCACCGGCGGCGCGGCGTTTGTGAGTCGCTGGAATTGCAAATAATGGTGTATCCACAGCTGTTTCGAAACTCGAATACTGCGCGACCTTGAGTAGCAATACACAGAGATCATTTTCAACATCGTTTCTCGCTCGAACGAATACGTGGAAACGACATTGTAAGCAACATATCGGCATTATCAAATCCAAATATTATTGATGATAGAGTAACTTCATGTTAGAAAAGAAAAAAACTGTCCGATATAACTGAAAAAGTAACAAGCATATCAAAAGAAATTGAGAAATTGAATTTTGTAACGAAATAGATTCCAAATAGAATACTAGTTACAGAAGATGATGAACGAAAATAGTAATATTTTTTGTAGACACATTAAATTGAAAGCTCTCCGCGTTATCTCCGAGAGAGATTAGAGGAAGGTGTAATAAAAATTTTGACATAAACCTCTCGCGCAGACTCGCTCAGACGGAAATGTACGAGTGAAAAGAAACGAACACACACGTATAACGTCGGAGTAGGGACAAAAACGCGGCATAAAACTCGCTCGGATCCTTTCCTTTACGAGATATCAGGTCGATAGATAATCTTACGGCGCGACGTCGGCCAGTAGGTGGACATTCAATTTCGTAAATGGCCGCGGCGGAATCGCGACGGTCGTAAATCGTCGGCGGCAGGGGGGAAGGGAAGTCTTATCGCGCGATTGCCAGTCGGCTAGCTTCTTCGTCCCCGATATCCCATGGGCGCGAAAATCGAAAGGATACGGGCTCGTCTATCGGCTGCCGGAACCGGAAGCGGCCGGGCGTGAATAACGCACCGCGTGCGATCGCGTTTCGCCGCGGACGATGCGCATTAGGGACGCTCCGTTGCGTAATCCGGCGGCACAAAACGACATTGGTGACAATCATCGAATTACCTGCAGCTGCAGGCGATCATTCGCGATTTCGTGCGATCGCAGTGGGCGAGCGGAGGGGCCTTGTCCAGTTTCCGCGATATTCGTCGTGTCCGTCGTGTATTCGTGTCACGAATGTCAAACGGTGTCGCACGCGCAGGTACGATCAATCGCGACATCAACGCGACATTTGTCAGTATCTTGATTATTGAAGAAATACTTTGCACAGAACAACAACGGCAATAATTCGATATCACTGTACATTTATTATATAAAAGTCTTTTACAAGGTCTTTCGGTTATATAAAGTATATAACAATTATGAATTATAAATTATTGCTGTAATTAACACAAGCGAGATTTTCACGATAATTGGAGGTACTGACAAATATCTCTGACTCAACGCAAAATAGAGAGAATACCTGGGTGTTTTTCGTGGTAATAGTGAAATCGAGATGAGTGACATCACAGTGCGTCTTTCCCGGTTATTTGCGACGTAGACAATCGAATTCGCTGACGGTTACATCGGTTTTAATTTCTGTCGCGAGCCTCTCTGTCGCTCTCGATCCGCGGAGAATTGACGCTAACGCGCTAATTTAATTCGCTCGGTTGATTTGATGAAGTGACTTGGCAGCTCGTGTTAACGCAGCCATTGTTTTTGTTCTTACAAGGAAACTTCTGCTCTGCATGCGGACGGAGAGTAAACCGGGTTTGAATGACGGGAATGTCGTTTTTCGCAGTCTCACCACGTGTACGATAAAATTTAATTAACCAACAATATATAAAATTAATTCATAAAGTTATGAACACACACAAGTTATATACCGTTGTGCACTATTCGCTGTTTAATTTATTTCTCCAGAGACTTGAGAGACCTCCGGAGTGCTCTCGAAACTTTTGAGAGCACGTCACACCGAACATTCGCACATGTGATGTTCAGGAGGAAACGGTATTCCTATTATATTTCCCATCTGACTTACGTGTTATTCCGTGAGTCTAAAGCGTGTGGCATCTATTTGGAATATCGATATTGTCACCATTGTCGTGTTTACAGTCGATTGTTATTTAGGTGAAACGACGCTGACATTAAGCTGACGCGCAAAGTTTATAACGCGGCTGGATCTAAATTCAAACAACAGTACGCCGTTTGGAAAATTAAATCACGGTCCCTATTCCGATAAAGCTTGACCAACGCGATATCTAGGTTGGCGCATATAATTAACTTGCCCCCCTGGCACGTACGGAGATGACCCACTCGCGGGGAAGAAAAAACGGCTATGCACTCGAAATACCATCTGTCGCAAGTACTTTTAAGACTTTTCATTTAAAACAGCATTTTGGAAGCTTCCAACGTTTGACCTATTGCGAGTTATTTCAAAATATTCCAAGTTCTCAGCGTCTACTTTGATCCATAGACTCTTTGACCTTTATTCGGCGCTGAACAGAAATACGTTCTTCATATCGTATAACGTTTTTAAGCTTCAACAGTATTATTAAATTAAAAGTAATTAAAAATTTACAAATTTTGTAATTGAGCTAGTTTGGTATCTTATGTAATAATAAGACGCTATTTTCCATCTATTTTCAAGTGAGTTCTAATAGAATTTTTTTTAAACTTGTAGAATAGCGTTAAATTCAATCAATATAATGAAAAGAAATGTATAGATACTCCGAATAACTCCTGCTTGAAAATAATATTCCTTATTTGTCTTGATCACTTTTATTTACTCCAACATATGACGTATATAAACAGCTTTGACCTGATCGAGACAATTGTACAGAACGTGTGGATTAGTTTACGGGAGCGATTCGTACAGGCGCGAAGACAATCAGATAAATCACCGTGCGAGAAAGTCGCACGATTACTGGTCTTCCAGACATCGCGTCGTGCCGGTTTAGCGGCGCTCGCGTGATAGCGGCTTAAGGCGCGAAAATAGAGCCTCCGCAGCTCTCGTGTTGTCGTCGTCGTCGTCGTCGACCGTCGTTGACGGTGCCCGAACGGACGCAGCTACGCGCTTAGTCTGTAACTGGAAGCATACGCGAGAAGAGCGAAATCGCGCGGCGCATTATCCCGGGAGCTCGGTCTCACACGCGAGAAAATAATCCGAGAAAGAACCGCGACACGGTGACGGAGCAGGAAACAGTTCGCCAGAATTCGTCACGAGACGAGAGGACTGACGAAGCGTTGCGTCGTCTCGCACGCAACGGGCACGTACGGGCAGCGACAGAAGCAGACGAGACGCGGATGAATCTGACGGACGACCCGGGTGGATTGTAAGAAGAAAGCGTCGAGCTTTTTAGAAAATTCATTTATTTATTTATTTTACCTTATACCTTATTGTTAGTGGGACAAACTGTGGAAGTACTTTTGGTGTACAGAATCAAGATATTAACGTGATTAGTGCGTATTTGAATGCAGATTACCCTTTATTATAATTTCTATATACATATATAAGAAATATCCTTTGTGCCTTTGATTAATAATCAAAGTTTGTAAATATAAGACATGATTTTGAAACCATTTACAGTTACATTTACATTTACAAATATATAAATTAAAGTATATTATTAAAAAGAAAATTGTGAAAATCATTTAAAATTACCGCAAGTATTAGCGATAAATTCAATTCTTTATTTATTGTTAATTTATTACTGCACCGTAAAATTTATCTATGCAGTCACACAACGTTATGATAGAAAGGCATATAAATCTTGACTCGCGTGACTAACGCTTGAAAGAATGACGGGCAGTATTATTATTAATATTGTGGGCTATAACTGATTTTTTTATCTCAAAAGATACGGACGATGGACCGCGTGTTTGATTGGACCCTCATAATGAGCTTCTTGCGCAATCCTTTAACGAGACCGGAGCTATCGAGGTCATTGCAGGCATTGATCGACGGATCGCGCTTCAATATTAAAAGCGCTGCTCCGGAATCCTAAATTCAATGGCCATTCCATGATGCTACCGTCGAAAAGCGCAAATCGTTCGAACGAACAGCTAAAATATTTGACGAATGTATGCGAGCCCTACAGTCTGATGTTAAAATTGCATATTTAAAATTTTAGTGAACGTACTGTTGCGTAACTTTTTACACCGATTTATATTTTGTTGCAATAATGTAGAAATACGAAACTCGTTTTTTAAAGTGACGTGAGTTTAATATATTGAAAGATTATAAACGTTTTAATAAATCGGCAATGTAAATATTTTTGTGAGATTTCGAAAATACGTACATTCAATTTAAAGTTCTCATTTATATTCAGTCCAATTGTTTCTATGTGAATATTCGAGTGCCGTCATAGTATCATCAATATCTCTTAATCGACACTCGTCAGTATTAATAAGTTACAATGATTATGCCAGATTAATGTTTAGTTTTTATCAAAGTAAGACTATATCATTCTGTTTTATAACTATTTCAATTGTGTCGGGCTCATTCATTGGATCCTTAACAAGTCCGATAATCGATTTCGACCTAACGAGACCTTAAAGTACCTTAAAATACGTACGTTAATCGAATCTTTCAACCATTGAATCTTCTTAAATTGCATTCGTAGCCACGTCACTAACACACACGTTAACGATATCTCTCAAATAATGTCTGCTTTGTGTTGCAGCTCGACTCGTCGTGCCGGTCCGACGATCGTCGCAGGATCTCCGGGAGCGTTCAAGATTTCACGACTAGAGAAACCTTGTCGGCGCCCGACGCGAGAGAGAAAGAGAGATAGGGAGAAATAAATTGACAATATGAATACGATGGATATGAGAAAAGATCGCCGATCGACGATGGATATTTTCGAGAAGGACGTGTCGCGTTCGGACGAGTTACCGATCGCGGTGATCCATAGATCCGGGGCGGGAATCGGCGAGCTTTTGGCGAGACAAGCGATGGCCTGGTGTCGTTACTGGCTGCAAACGTTCCCCATAAGAATGACGTTGAACAACGTCGGATTGTTGACGGTGTTCCTGGCGATAGTGTCGCCGCGATCCCTCATTTACAGACTCGTTTATCCGATTTTCAGATTGGTCTTCGGCACCTTGTACCCGGCGTACGCTTCCTACAAAGCGGTGCGCACGAAAAATGTCAAGGAATACGTAAGTGAGAAGCATAAACAATAAACGATGTAATAGTTTTGTAATTACGATTTTAGCCCTTTAACCTAATTAAGCTCAGCATATTACGCAAGTATTTAATTAGAGATCGACTCTGAAATGTTTCGATACACTCCTATCCTGTTTTTAATTTTTTTAAATATTTATATAAAAATATTTTTAGTTGGTTAATATTTTAAAAATAAAAAAAATTATTATTATTGATATGGGCTCCCAAATTACATTATAATTAAATTATTAAATGTGATTTGATATTCTGATTTAAGATTTAAGAATTGATTCTTGACTCTTTCTTTCTATTGAAAATTTAATTTTAAAAATTATGAAATTTCCTAATTTTTTTATTTTTATATAATTAACATTTCACGTAAATGCATGCAGCAAATTGTCATACAATACCAAGTTGTTGAGCAATTTGTATCTAAACGTTTTCTGCACAAAACGCTGGTTAATATTTTAATAAATTGCGAATTTATTAACGCTAATCTTTTGCACGGTCTCTTCTCACAGCCGATGAAGCTCGAGCCGTATTTACGTTGCTGTATACAAAGCTGTTTGGAATATTTTTATCTTTATAATGTACTCATACTAGGAAGAGAAATTCGCAATAATAGAACCCAATTTAATTTTATCTTTTTGTTTTTTCTTTTTGTGAATAATATAAAATATATATAATAAATTATATAGATTTTTATTTCTTTTCCAGAGCGATATTTATTTTCTTTTCGTCATCTCACCAGTCACTTTTTAAAATATTTTTTGCACTGTAAATAATAAATCACGAATACATTTGTCTACGGTCTTGCTTTGCATTATTTTTTGTAATTATCTATTGCTCTTGAATTTCCTTGATTTCAGGTCAAATGGATGATGTACTGGATCGTATTCGCGCTGTTCACATGCGCGGAAACATTCACCGACGTCTTCTTTAGTTTTTGGTGAGAAATTCATTGCTATTAAAAATTCATCAGCTATGTAATTTGCATAAATTATGCGCCTTGTGTGTGTGATTTATCTAGACAAAACAGGATTAAGAATTATTACGTTAATATATATTCATTCGTCGAAATGTAATAATTGAAATATCCGCGGAGAAAAGATCATCTTATGAAAAACATTTGCACATTAATTAGAATTTTTTATGTTTACACATATCACACTCTGCCGTGAGTAATTATTATCGCGGAATTAATATTCTTATTTAAAAAAAAAAAAGATCGATACTTCATTTTTTTTTCCTTTAAATCGAGTCAAGCGTTTTTGAAAGAGTCTGTAGAAGCTGAGACATCGTGTCAGGAAACGTCGCGTCGTCGCGTTGATTTGACGGCGGCCGCCGCGTGTACGTAACATAACGCACCGGATATTGAGATGAATCTTGGAGTCGTGGCGAGCGCGAGGGCAAGCCAAGGGGCCAATAAACCAGCTGCGGACCGCGCGGTCTTGAAAGCCGCACTCTCGCCGTGAGGAATTCCGAAAGTCTAATTTCGGACGAGATAGATATTGGCTTACATGCACTTCTGAGGATTCTGCCCGCGCCTCCCCTGACCTGCCATCGTCTTCTTGTTTCTCCGTCGTTCCTCCTTATTCTCTCTTTCTCTTTCTCGGGGGAACATCATGCGCCAGATCTCCCTTCATACTCGGGTTACAACCAAGAAGGAAACGAGTTCCCGCGTATTTCTGGCGTCGAATGCCCGATACTCTCCCGGCGCACACCGGTGTGCACCGCATTTCTCCTGCACGCCGCTCTTACTTTCACGTCCGTGACGAATTTTTCGCGACGCGAGTCGAATCGAGTTGATTGCAGCCGCGTGACGGCACAGCGATTGTCCGCGATTAACTTTTTTTTTTGTTCCGTTACATTATGATTACGTGTTAAAAACGTGACAAGTTTATTTGGAAAAGATCCCGATCGGATAAAAACGTCGTTGTCGAATTAACGACTCGAATATCTTTATCCGTTAATTTAACGATGTAAGAGCTATAGATTGTAGGGTTCTTTTTGTATACAGGATATTATAATACTTTTGCGCACACGTAAATGTCGCATTTATTTCACAGCACTATCGCAACTTGTGTGTGCACACAAAAATGTATAATAAAGCTTCAAAGTAACTTCGAGAAACGGCGAGCGCGTTGGCGCGTGCGGATATTTTACACGCCTCGAATGTTTGTTACGTAGGTTCCCGTTTTACTATGAGATTAAAATCATCCTCGTGCTGTGGCTGCTAAGCCCGGCCACTAAGGGCTCCAGTATCCTTTACCGGCGCTTCGTGCATCCCGCGCTAATCCGCCGTGAAGCCGAGATCGACGAAGCCCTAGCACGCGCGACCGAGCAGGGTTACACGGCGGTGCTGCATCTCGGCACCAAGGGCGTGAACTATGCCACCACGGTCCTCATGCAGACCGCCATCAAGGTAAGGCCCCTACGTGGTCCGAACGTCAGGAAATGTGTATTGTCATTGTACAAAGTGTCTCGGAATTATATCTCACGCCTGGGGATTCTTCGAGCAAATCTTCGATTTCCGAAGAATTCGCGAATGAAAGGCGGGACGATAGACTGGGACACCTTGTACGTAGATGTAGAAGAGAAACCGGCAGCTTTCGAGGAAGAGTTCAGCTTTAGAAATTTTCACATCGACATGTTACATATATTGTCAATAATATGACATATAATCCGAATGATGTATTACAACATAGCGTAATGAGAGAATTTTTTTTACATAAATTAATCTTTACCTTCCGAAAGAGGCTGCCAGCATCCAGGAATGCTTTATCTTGTTTGATCTTGTACTTTAACCAGACTGAGCTCTCGCTTTCATTGATCCACGCATAGACCTGTTCTCTTGATTGCCGCTCACTAATCATTTTACGTGTTCTTGATTTTTTCTGTTTTCGTTCTGTCCCATCCGCGTTCCCGCACGCCATCGCCCTCTCTCACCGCCGCATCGCCGTCTTACCGTCTAATCAAAAACTGAACAAAAAAAAAATACGAAAAAAAATCGCCATCATCGCCATTCGCAAAACCACGCACGGCAAAACACCGAGCACCTTAACCACCGCCCGATCATCGCCCTAACCGCTGCCGTTGCTTAAGAAATCTGTCTACACCGAACCATCGTCGACCACACGACGAAATTCTACCACTGACCCGTAACAACAACCACCAACACGAACACACCGAATTGCTGGTCGATTGAAACGCAAACAAAAAAAAATATGTATAAATAAATAAAAAAAAACAAAATCTCGGCATCACATGATAGAATCTCCCGATCGTATTCCCGACCACGACGAGTGCACTCCCCGACCGTCAATCAGACCCGGCGATTTCTAGCTTAGCCAACCCCAGAATGACAACGCGGTTAAACAGCCAGTTGGACGGGCCGGATTGTCCGGACGGCAGCGCGGTCTGCAGCCATCTGCATGGTAGGTCCGACGGTCTGGTGATAGGCGACACGGACGCGATTGTCGACTGGCAGTACTGTGACTCAACGACGACGGACGACGACGAGGAGGAGATGGTGCAGGAGCTGCCGACGACGGACGTGGAGTGCGAACTGCCGGAGGAGCAGCAGCAACCGGTGGTGTTCAAGGTGCCCGAGAAAGAAGCCCCGCGAAAAACGCGAAAGTCCAGGAAGGAGCGCAGCACCACCGCTAAGGTCACCAGGCGGCAGAGGACTCGCGCCTGCAAGTCGGCCACGAAGACTTACGATGTGCAGGATTTCAGCGACGACGCCGAAGTCAATTAATCGGAGAAAGAGAAAGAGTGAGACAGATGATTCGGTATAGACGGTGGGAAAACGGGGATGAACCACCAGAAGCCTGGAAAGCAGACCGAATGGATCGATAGTATTGGAAAGTGTCGGCGGTTTTTATCAAAGGACGATTTATATATCTGATGTATTATTACGAGTGATAAGCAAAAGACTTTATGCGCGAAAGAAAGTACTCCGAGGATCGATGACAGCTTTTTTTTTTGTATATTGTACACTCACTTTGATATTTTTTTCTTTTGTGCAATCTATCACGAGTTATCCCTTTTGCGTTTTTCTTGTTTCTTTTTCTTTTTTTTTTTTTTGTGCGAATGCGCGAGACGAAATTTTCTGTTCGCGGATTCACGAGAAATTTTTATTTAGCGATACGCATATAGTCTCTTTTCTGTATTGCTTACGTGAGTATAAAAATTACTGTGTGTGATTTAACTGTGAACAATAGATTTTAGCGACAGGAAGGTTGTTTGATACACTAATAAGTAAGAGACTTTTTGTACAATCTTGTATCTTTTTTTTTTTTTTTTTAGAAAGACACGAAAATTTTGAAAGGCTTTAATCGTTACAATGACTGTAGTGGAGAACTTTTAATCATGTACACATTTTCGACCAAGATAAGACTCTTTAGTCGTATCCACTCGTATGCCTTACGATTTGTATTTTTCCACGTGAACTTCGTTCGATTCTAGGACTCTTAAGGATTTACGTAGAGAGCTGGAATGTAAAATAGCCTTAGGAGCAATCTCGATATTTTTACGTAATACTCCGCACATTGCCTTGACATTAATAATAATGATAAGGCCAATTGTTAATTGCGCGCAATGACGTTCAGCACGAGCTTAAGAACGATGATTAAAAATCGTTGACATCGAAACATATCAAAGAAGAAATATGCGAATATTAATTGGAAATTCTGTGTAATTAACTGTCAACAATTACATGTCTTTTTCCTATTATGTCGTTTTTTATCTCACGCGGTAATTCTTCGAGCTTAATGATATGATTAGGACAATCAACCATTACGATCAATTAACTGTAAGACTCTACACAATCTTTTTTTTAAACTACACGGTGAGTTTCTCAGATCCAGTCGGATATTTTTATATGTAATTCTGGTGTAAAATGTATATTTTTTGATAAATTTTCTTCGAAGATAATATGGCAAGCATTGTAAATCGATCAATTATGAAAATCAAAATTCGGCTTGCCAGATCGCAAAATACAAATATAAACAAGGAGTAATGCTCCACGAATGCTGGAGCGAGACTCAAAATCTTCTCCGGGTCTCAAAAACTCACGTACGTAGTCCTAGAGTTAGATAAATTCCCTTTTCCTGACTTAATTGTTATTTACTAAAAGACAACGAATCTCTAACTTAGATTGACTCGATCCAGATTGTTGATGCTGGAGCTCAAACGTATCATTGTTTACATCGCATCTGTTTTATGCTGCATGTTCGATAAATCATACGTTTTAGAAAGTGCGTTTCGAGAGCTCAGAAAACGATGTTATTGATTGATACGAAAATCGAGTAAACGATAATACAACGAGATGGACGATCACACGCTTGCATATAATCATTACCATCATCATCATCATTACTGTCGTTATTAGCTAGTATTATTCGCGTGTTTGTGTATTCGTCATCTCGTTTGCGTATTTGATCTAAGAAGTTACCGGCAAAATCTGTGTTAGTTCGCGCGCACACGGAAAAATCATAATAGCAATAAAGCTTATCGTCGACTGGTGTTGATTAATGACACGTCCCACCGATAAAGTGCCCGCCGCTACTTGTTCGTCGTCACTCGTTTATGGAGACGCATAGACGGAAAAGGACGCGTGTGTTACTTGTTGCGATTACATGAAAGAGAGAGAATTTTTGTACATAATTTTCATGCTACAGTTGAAGTATAATCGGTTATTCCTCTATAGAGGATTGCAAATTACACCGCTACGCTTTAACTGTAACATGTGTACGCTATACATATACATATAACTATTAGAGATTAATGGTTCATTCGAAACCACCAGGTGAAAAGCGTGCAGGTCAATTTTAGTCTTTGCGGCAACGAAGACGATATCTTTGGCCGCGCAGACCCGGTGCCTTCTCACGCACCTTCTCACCATAATTTTTCCGTGTGCGAGCGCTTAGCATCGTACCGTTTTAGCGAGTAAGATTTTTGTACCCGATCCCAAAGACTCTGATTATTATGATGAGCTGATTCCTTTCTTTTCAAATAAAAGCATTATTTGGATGAGCTTTCGGTTCCTCTGTTCTTGTTTCTCGTTCCGCAACGACCGCGTCCCCGTCTTTCGGCCTCCCGCTGCATCACCGTACGACGATCTCATTGCAGGCATTATTTCTCGCACCATCAGCGCATTTTCTTTCCAGAAATATAAGTTTCACTTTCGATTAATAGAACTAATCGCTAATAGACGACGCGCTATGTTAGACGCGACGGTATACTCACGCATACCTACTGCACGCATTTATATCTATATCGTCGGCCGTCGCGTGCTTCTGGACCGGCGCATGTTTAACAGAAAGACACGTATGTTACGAACGTCCGGGAAAAGCAAGAAATCGCCATTTGGATTGAATCTAAATCCGGCGTAAGGGGAGTTTGCCTTCCGTGACCGGGTGACGGCAGATAACACATTAACATCCTTTTGGTTGGTAAGATTTTTATTTTGTTTTTCTTTTACTTAATCGACTATCTGAGTTTTTCTCTCGATGACTTAATTCTCTCTTTTTTTTTATTTCTTTTTTTTTCTCGCAGTAAGTAACATGCTGGCCGCGTCGTTTGCGGCGCACATGTTTCACGAGCGGCTTCCTTTTTCAGGGCGGCGGCGGGCTGGTGCAACAATTGAGGAAAAGCTACAGCCTCAGTGATCTAACCGGCGAGAAGGAGGACGAAAATAGAAACACACCCGATGCACGTGACGAGACGGACATGCAAGGTAGCTGACGCCTAGCGTCGCGTTAATTAAATGTAGATTTTGCGAGAATAAAAGCAAACACGCTCGAGCACGAGCATTCTCAAATATTTCCCGTTCCTTTTTTACATTTTTACACACATATGTGTCAATTTTGAACATAATTGAATAGATATTCAATTTTATATTGTGTATGTTTTATGAATATATAATTTTATATATTTTACATATTATGTTTTATAACTTTTTAAAAATATTTTTAATTTAATATCAAATTTTATACTTATTAAGTGGTCCCCTCAAGTTTAAAACGAGACGCGTTAACGAATTGCCTAGTGGCTTAACTGTAAGTAAATAGAATCTGTGCTCCTTGCAGTGGAACCTCGCCGAAGAGAGCACGCCGGAAGAAGAGGCTACAGTCCACGCAGGACCCAGTCCAGCAGCAATGCGTCTCGAGTAGAGATGTATTTCTCCGAAGTGGATGTCGATGTTCGGCAGCCAAGGCCTAGGGAGCCCATAGCTAGTTTAACGTACGTAGTTTGCGCAGCTTCCAAAACGATTCGTGTCGTTCGGTAATAACGAATATCTTTCTGTAGAAATATAAGGTCCTCGGACGACATATCTAGCGGTTACAGTAGCGGCGAGGCGTTGCAGACCCAGCGCACGACTTCTCAGGGTGACCCTTTAGTGAGAACATCGAGCGTCGGCGCGAGAACACGCTCGATGAAGCCTCGTTCCACCACGAAGAAGACGCCCGAAGTAAGCCCGTGTAGCGTAGGGAACTAATAATCGCGTACACCGTCCATCGTTAACAGAAAAAAGAAAAAGAAAGAAATCACACACACACACATCGCTCTCTCGTCGCACATTCGTCAACTTCAGTTAATGACACGTACTTTTTTTGTGGTCTTTGAAGGACGGGGGCGAGGATTTCGACCGCACATCTCCCGAAAATGTCTCCCTACCGTCGTCCCTAAACATCCTCACTCCCGAACAAGCTGTCGAGCTTTTGCTATTGCTGTCCCAGAGTAATAAATCGATAGACCGACCGACATCAATTACCGCTTGTTGTATCGATAGCGATAAATCCGTAAACGAAAACAGATCCGTAACGAAAATAGAAGATAATGAATCGGCGGAATCGAGCGGCGAGTTCGTTGACACAGGCTCGGCCTGTCGGATGGACGTGCAAACGGTGCAAACCATAGAAATCAGGAATATCTCGACGGAAAACTTGTCGATAGCCACAGTGACGAAAAGCGCAGACAAAATCAATATCGATAGTTCGGTAAAAGAGTCTGATTCTCAGCAAAGCGATTCTAACGCGCAGATTGAGTATATTGACGATGAGCCGAAAAGTAGCCGAGTGATATCAGCTGTTTCCCAAAAGCCCGACGCGGAAGCCGATCTCGAACGAATAACCGGCGAGATTTGCCAGCAGAAATTCGACGAGCTCAAGCAATTGTTAGACGACGCGCACAAAGCTGTAACGGGCATCGTGTCTTCCCAGGAAAGGTTGAACGCGGTCGGCAGAGGTAAGGAATGCGTAAATACACGGGAAATTACGATCGGCAATTCGTCGAGCACTCGCGCTCGCGATATTGCGGTCCAGCCTCCCGTTGCACCGAGTACGTCGAGTTGCGATCTCGACGGCGACAGTCGCGCAGGAAAATATCACAAAAAGCCCGCTCCGAAAGCCCCGATAAGTAAATACGAGGCGACGGGTAACGAAGACATCGACGAAAACGAGTCTCAAAACGCTCTGAAGGCCACCTTGGTCATTAAAACTGGTACGTTGAGAACCGTTTCGAACGCGGACACTACGAAAGATATATTTCTAGCGCGTAACCCGGACGCGAAAAAAAGAAAGAAGAAATCTAACAGGCTACGCGCTAAGGAGGGCTTTACCAAATTGTTAACAATCCCGAAGAACATCTTTCACAGCGCCTTCCACAAGGAGCAAAGCGAAGCCTCCTCCAAGGAGGAAGATTCCAGCTCCACGTACTCCGAGACCAGCGGATCCGCGTCGAGATCGGGTAGTATCGGGTCCCAGGTGTTCGTAGACGCGACCGCGAAATTATCCGTTTCAAAGCAGGAAGTGGACGTGGAGGAGATCCCACTGAGACCGGAGCGCGATGACAATACTGAAAATTCCGCCAGAGATATAAACTCTTTTGCTGAAAAATTGGATACTGAGATTGTGCCTTTGAACGAAGTCGAAATAGATCTCAAAATTGAGAATAATAGGAAAGAGGAAGCAAGTGCGATAAAAGCAGAAAAATCCGGAAATCGTGAAAAGAATGTTGAAAATGTATCGAACTTGCAAATTCGTGAAATGTCACAGTCGCTGCCTTACGGAGACAAAAAAGAGATTATCACCGACATTAATTAAAAGCATTTCGTTAATGCACATTTTACAGGGGAAATTGTTAGCTGTATTAAATAATTAGTATATTTGTTTTGTCTTTGATGTTTTTAAAATATGATAAAAGCTTGTTCCTCCTCTCTCTCTATCTCACTCCCCATACATCATATTTAATCCTAATTGGAAATCCGGGCAGAAGAAATGGACCGTTCCATTAAGATCGTATGGACTAGTTTCTCTGATTTCTGAATCTTGTTAATCCACAATTAACTGCAATTTCTTTCCCTAATCATAACACATAACACGTGCCCTAACTGCGCGTTTCAGCCTTGCATGACATTAATTTCTAACGCAACATTATAATACAATTAATCCATAATTTTTTTTTAATTATATGAGTGAATGGTTTTCTCGTTTGAAATTAGGGATTTCAATACTTAAATTATTTTATGATTGGTTGAGTTTCCGTTTAAATTTTTAGAGAGAAAAATACTCTTGCCTTTTTTTTTTAATCATTTACTGACAAAATTTCCATCAAAACCATGAAAAAAATGGCAAAAGAGATTGACAATATGCCATTTGAATTTCATATGATAAAAGTGATAATAACATTGTATTTTCATGTATTTCAGATAACGAGTTTCGCTACCTTACCTCGCAGTAAGAAGACCAGTAAGAAAAAAGTGGCATGAAACCTCCCTGCTGCTGACCGCATTAAGGAGTAAGACCAAGTCCCTTGTAACGAAAGCAAAAGAAAAAAATATCTTCATGCGTGCGGATGAAATTTTTGCACGAGCCAATAACGAGCACACTTTCGGTCAGCAGCAAACATCGATTAGCCAAAAATTGAAAAAAAAACGCGATATGTATACAATTGAATGTTTCTAGCACCGGTATATTTCTTAATTCAGCTTTTTGACTATTGCTTTAACTTGTCAATCGTTAGTTTCTATTAGTCTGAAAAGAGAGAGAGAGAGAAAGAGAGAAAATCCTGTCTTTTCTCTCAATCGCAAGGAGCTTATACGGATATACGCGAGGGATTCTGACAGCTTTGTCATCCTCGAGAAGAAACATACGGACAATGTTTATATAATATATATACCGAACTCTACGATCACGTCGGGTCACGTTGCACCGTTGCAACGTCCGACACGTTGTTACACGACACGATAATTTCCCATATGTATCTTAAAGCTCTCGCGAGAGCGTCCAGTCTAGCTTTTATATGCTAACGTTTGGTAGTGCTGTCGTAGATAGGGAGAACTTGATACATATTGCATGCAGTATATCTGCTTACGAATAGGCTTCGATTATAAACGAAACACAATCGCGGCGTAGTCGATGAATAGAGTGGAGAAAAGGAGTCCAAATCAGGGACTTCGGCGCTTGATTCCCGACCGTAGGTCCGCGAACCGATAAGGGCAATCCTCTACGAGCCAGCGAGCTGCGAAACCGTCACGGAACGACTTTGATATTTGCGAAACATTATTGTAATCTAACAAATCGAATTCTAGTCAATCGGGAAAACGAGTAGGAATTCAGACCATATTGAAATAGTGCCACGCGATTGTCTTGCATTGCGTATATTAATCCTCTTTTTCACTACCAAATAGTAATTGTTTGATGGACTGTGTTTAACTACGATTGCGTATGCGTATGTCGCAGAGTATTGTGTGGACTTAATCGAGAGATAGCTGTTCTCCCTCGCACGGAATCTGAAGTTCGGGAAGTCGCGCGAGTTTTCTCGCGAAGAAAACTCTACGGATAACGATCCTGCGTTAAGGACCAACAATTTGTCTGTCAATCCGCGGCGAATTGTTACATGTTGACGTGCGAGATCACTTTTTTCAGATTTTTGCACGCTTGCAATTCGAAGATAAGATATTAGCGATATGTACTTTGATAGCGAGTTTGTTTTACGACTGGCTATAATCTTGACTTTATATCAGTTTTATCGTGCTCCTAATTTAATTAGGATATATATCTTGCTTGTGTAATCCACGCGAGGAATTTTTTAAGTATTTATCGCGCATAACTTGATTTATAATTACATTTATATATTTCGGTACGCGGTATTCTTTTATCAGGGCGAACGTTATTCCGCATCATCATACGCTCACGAAAGACTCACGCGCGCACAAGTACATTTAAAATCCATCGTATGTGTTAACGGATTCGTATATAGTTTATCGTGCTGTACTTTAACGTTCTATTGCATATCTTGGGCAAAATTAACATATTGCGTATATACAATTAACACGAATTTAGAAGTGGGAAAGACGCGAAACACGGTGTTGGGGTTGTACACTCGACGAGTGAAATATTCGATACGTTACACGATTAACAATTGTTGATTTTGCGTGTGTGTATAGATTCGACACAAAGTTCATGATACGTCGGGGAAGAAAAATGTAGCAAATGCTTTTAACACACCTTGCGATGTATAAATTATGTATAAATGAATTTACGATAAAGTAACGTATATAAATGCGGTTCTCTATGCAAAATAGATATTTTTATCCAATCCAGACGTGCAGTATTCGCACGAAATACGCATTTGCTGCATTTTATCTGCATTCTTTATAACACGACTCGTTGAAAGACGTTAATACGTACTTGTCTCGAACTTTATATATATATATATATATATTATATATGCGAGAATATGTGATAAGAGAGTGAGTGAAAGAGTAAGAGAAAATGCTCAACTATGAATCTCTACCGGTATTAACCGCGGTCAGTTTCCTATAGATCTTGTATAATAAAGATATCTCTCGTTCTTTATACGTATTCAACGCCTCCGGCGCATAAAAATTGTGTCCCGAGCTATTATGGTGCTGCGATCTTTGTAATTTGTTTTATATAGTTCCGTACCGTCGATACAGTATACGAGAGAAAGAGGAATCGAGAGTACGTTTGAAACAAAGTTATACTCTGTATTCAAGCTATTCGGAAAAAATTCGGAAACCGATGGAGTACAGAGTGAGATCGGTTAACAGTATTTCAGTTCAGGCGTTTAGTGTTAGCGAATAAATGACATTAAAGTACCGATTACCTGATGAACGCCCGCACTTGTCCCGAGATCTGAGTATATTATATATACGTGTATCGTTTAAGTTAAGCCCGAGTTTTCATCTGATGGAACTCGAATCTTTTAAACACAATCTCCTTTTTTTTTTGTTCGTAAAAATATAGATCTTGCAATAAATGTAAGGTGTGTGTTAAATGACGAGACGAAACATATATAACAAGAATACGTTCGTATGTATATTACAGTACTATAAAGAGTTTATTTTTTACAATTATAAAATAATCGGGAATATGTCGTCAACAAATGTGTCGCGCGAAACTTCACTTAGCTTTGCTGCAAAATACGGAATGGAAAACGCGAGTTTCTCATGTTGCGACATCGGTTTGTCGCGGACGGTGTCAGCCGGAAGACGTAATGTTGCGCATTTGTCTGACCGCGGCCACGACACGTGCGTTGCATCCGGAACTGCCGTTCTGATAATCCTCGGCCGGCAATCTCAGCAGTAAGGACATGTGTTGAAGATTCTCCGATAAGCACAGACCGAGCTCCTCCAGTACGTTGCCCAGATAATCTACGTAATGTAACTTTCATTCGTATCTCTCTTCATAACTACTTCAGAAAAATCCCTGCAAAATTATAGATACGAGCGAGAGAGAGGCTTACCAATATCGGTCGCGAGCTGTTTGCAAGCTACGGAGTTCAATTGGCAGATGCCCAAGGTTTGATCCTGAAACATTTGACACGTTCCCCGGGCGATAATGTCCAATAGTATACCGGTGAATCCAGATTCGCTCGAGCCTTGAACGTATTGCGGATCGGCTGCTTTCAACGCTTGCGTCAGACTCGGATTGTCCCTCAGCAGAAACGGTTCCAAGTGCTGCGGCAACGTCATCAAGTACTGTCCGACCTGCGTGATGTACTCCTGAGGGGCGAAACTGTAATCGGGTAAATCTGAACTTAGATTGGACATTTTGCTGGTCTCCAATGACCAAGCCGGTGCCTTTTGCACCAGCAACAGTTGAGAGAATATCGGCGCAAAGATAACTTCGTACGTGGTGTGGTGTAAATCAGTGCAGAGTTTTTGAATAGACTTTATAATCGAATCGAGAATTGTCTTGTCCTCTGTAAGAGAAATAGAAAAATTAGATAATCTTCTTTCCATAATATTTACACTGATTATTGTTACGCGCGTACACACGCACCTCTTTGGAAAGATGCAACAAGATTTTCCAGATCGGCGCAGCCTGACGAAGTTAACAGTAACTTTTTGTATTGACAGAAAACGCTGCCGTTTGTGTTTTGTAATTTGTTATTAGCTTCCGTTATGTCGATCACGAGCGACTTTTCGAATTGTTGCACTTGATGCAAGAGATCACCTGTACAGCAATGCGATTAAAATTAACGATCTCGCGCGTCTACGTCTCACACAAGAAATTAATTGATTGCTGAAAATCACCTATATTTTGCATGAGCGTAAGACACATTTGGAACAAGTTCCAGTCTTCGTGTTTCACCTTTTTTCTCTCGAGTTGTCTTAAGCCTTGCTGATATTTCTCGAGATACTTGTTGAAATAAATCTACAAGATAAAATCGTCGATTTAATAAGAAATACATTTTACAACCGTCGCGCTGACACAAGCAAAAAATCTTTAAGAGCATAAACGTACGTTTAACGATCGCAGTAAACCGGGATATCCACAGCCTTCTGTAAAAAGCTTACACCGCTTATTGGCTTCACCGGCGTAGCCCATAATCCGCGAAATACTGAGAGAAAGGGAGTTGATAGTATCGCTTAGATCGTCGTGCGAGCGATCCAAAAACTGCAGGTGCTGTTCCAACTGCGCGGTTTCGTACGTGCTGTATTTCGCGACGTAGGGAACGTAAGGCGCATACACGGCTTGCGCTAGCGACAGTAACTTTTCGTTGTGCAACTTTCCGCGAAGCGACGTTTCGACGGCACCGCTGAGATTTACAGCAAAGTGCCTTGTCATCTGTTTCAATTCGAGTAGAATGGACAATTGCACGGCGTTGGAATGTTGTTTCAGTACCGCCTCTATACATTCCGGAATACCGGGATCGAGGCTCCTTAAAAGGTCAGCGTAAACCTCGATATGAATGTCTACCGAAGTATTGGGAAAGACTTGATGGCACCATTTCACCTTTAACATCAACCGTTATAGAAAACATTTGCAAAGCAGCAATAATATTTTGATCTCGACGATTATGTGTACCTGTTCGTGCCAGGAGGATAACAGTTTGTCATAATATACACGTAGCCAGTAGGTAACGTTTTCATCTTGTGCTAACTCAATAGTGCGTCTCCACTCTTGGCCCAAAGAGACCTTCAAGCAGTTGTGATAGTACTTGAGAAGCTGAGGCAGACGTTCCATCTTGCCAAAGATATCCACGTAAGTTTTAGATTGCTCTAAACACAAATACGACACTGGTTATCATATTCTTCTTATCTGGTTATCATATTCTATAATGGCGAAACGACGTCGCGTATATGATATATTTATTCCGACTCGGCGAGTTTTACCTAAATTGGCAGCGGTGAAAGCATGAACCAGTCGCGGGCTGGCTATCGCCTCCAGGCGATTTTTCAAGCCTTCCAATTGCAGCTTTTTATCCTCGTAATCGACAACGTTCGCGAGCATAGCCAGAGATTTCTGCATGCTGAACAGTTTATTAGATATCGCTTCTATATCGCCCGACTCGAATACCTATTTTATCAAGGGAAACAATATAATTGAATTCCACAATTATTGCATATTAATATCGAAATACGTGAAGAAACCGATTGGAGAGCTTTCATATACCTCTTCCACGTCGTTCGCTAATACCGTCCAATTGTCGGCCTCGTGCAATCCTTGCTTAGCAGTTTGCAATTCCGTTTTTATCCTATCAATCTTCTCCAGCATCGCCATGGAGGAGGCTGTATCCTTCTCGATCTGCGTTTCAATGTTTGCTCTCTAAAGTTATCGCAACGCACCAAGATAAATATTTAAAGAAATTAGGTGTACCAACCTTTGCAATCTCTTGCTTGACAGCGACCATCTTTTCTCTCAGCGCTAAGGTTTCTTGCTGCAGGAGTTGAGTGTCTCTTAAAATTCTGGGTAAGCTAGAGAGAACCGATTGACTGGTCTCCTCCAAGGCACCGTTAACTTGTTGCACGTATAATTGCAACTTCATCACTAATGATGAGACAAAAGCCTGCAAAGTAAACTCAGTCGTAGCACATACATTTTTCAAAGACAGTCTCTGGTACTTTTATAAAACCATCAAATAAAATTCCCGTCATATAATTAATAACACAAGAAATACGGCATCAAAAGTATTCTTTTTTAAATACTTTTTATTATTTCTTAAATATAATTGGTGTTGCTATCTTCTCATTATTTCATGAATAAATTGAACTGCCTTAATATTTAATTTACAATTGTATTAAACATTCACATTACCAAAGATAACGTTATATCATTCAATGACAACATTTTTGTGACGATTATATTTGCGTGAAAAAAATTGTTCTAAATTCATTCTAAAAACGCAAAAAAAAAGTGTGTATCGCGGAATAGGCAGGAAAGTTTATTGCCCGTCGGTACATGATCCAATGGTGTTTCGACAGAAAATTTTCGGCGTGATATACGCGAGAGCCTGTAAAAATATCGTTCTCCGGGGCGGAGGGGCGGGAGGGGGAGCTGAAAATTTTGGCAATGGTGCGAAAAAAGGGATCGCCTTTGAAAAAAAGCCGATCGGGGTCACTGACTGCCGCCGCCGCGGGCGGCGGACGGCCGCCCAGCAGCGGCTGCAGTTCGGCGGCCGACGGGCGTCGCGACGACGAGCGCAATTTGGGATCCGACGGGCCGGCAGGGGACAGGAATCTGACGGCGGAGGCGGAGACGCGGTGGCCCGTACGACTTACGTCCTTGTTCTCCTGCGCCTCGGCGGACTTGAACGTCCGGTTGATCCACTCCTTCACGTCGAAGCTGTCCTCGGAGAACGCGGCGACGTCCTGAAACGGCCATTTTGAGGTTAGGAACGAGCCTGTAGAGAGCCTCTCGCCTCGCTCTACCGCGGATCTCTCGTGAGATTCGCGAATTCACGCGGCCGTGTAATAAAATCCCCGGGTCACGCGGGAAAAATAGCGCGGACAGCAAACCGTAAGTTCGTACGTCACTGCCGAGCGCGAGTCGGGGAAAGAAAAAGGAAAGAAAAAAAAAAAGGGAAAAGGCACCGAACCGACGCCGCGCTCGCTTACCATGGCGAGAAGAGAGTCGCCGCGGTCGCGGCGTTCCGTTCCGTCGACAGTCGTGCGCGTTTCGAGGAGGTGAACCCTTGACACCGCCTCCGGCGACGTGTACCGCGCCAACAACAGAGAGGTCGGTCTCTATCTCTCTCGCGCTCCCCGTTCGATCGCTCGCGTCGTTATCGTCCGTCGCCACCGCCACCGCCGCCGTCGTCGTCGTCGTCAACGTGGTACCCGCGCGTTGAGTGGCGCGCGGCACACGAAGAGTCCGCCCGTCACGCATCAAGCGCGGCCTCGCTGCTCCTCGCCACCGCGATCGCCCTATTCGCCGCCGCGTTTGTTTGGCGTCGCGAGATCCTCGCCGCGAATAATTCGCCGAGGACGGTTCGCGCTAATAAACGGATCGCGGAACTCCGACGTGCGTGCGTGCGTGCGTGCGGTGCGTGCGTGTGAAGAGGGAAAGGGAAAGAGGCGATATATAGATTTGACGCGAGACGGATCGATCGCGCGGTGCATCGTGCCACGGACGGACGACGATGACGACGAGGACGACGAGGTGGAGGAGAACGAAGAGGTTGATCGCCTCGGCGCGGGACGGTTTCTAGGCTAAGCGCACGTCCGGCAGGGCGGGCGTCCGTTTTATCGTGCGCGGTGCGTCACGGAAAAGTGCGTCGGGGCCGTCGGGCAGTCTCGATAGTAAGCGAAAGAGAGAGAGAGAGAATGTACATGTATGTGTGTATGAGAGAGCGAGACAGAGAGGGAGGAAGTGGAGAGAGAATGGAGAGATGATAGAGCCGCCGTATGTATGTCGCGCGAGAGACGGTGAGAGAGCGAGAGAGAAAAAGGGAGTGAGCGATGAGGCGATGAAGCGAGCGACGTCCCTCTTATAGCAGCAATCATGATAAAGACGACTTGTCTGTCTCGAATTTCAGAACACGCTCGTGCACAACGAGAAGGCGGCCACCTCGTTAGACGCGGCCACCACCGCCGCCGCTGCCGTCGTCATCATCGTCGTCGACGTCACCGCCCTCCTCTTCCTCCCCCTTTTCGCGCGATCGGGAGTCCCGCGTTCCCGACTGGAGCAAGACGCGTTACTCGTTTGTTCTTGCGGCGAGGCTGCTTCCTACTCCGCAGGTGGTGCGTAACGAGGCGGCGAAAAAAAGAGATTGGGGGAGACAGACGGTGAGATAGAGAGATTGAGTGAGAGAGGGGTGAGGGGGAATGGAAAGCGGCGCGTTATCGGCCGTTTCCGAGCCCTTTGTCGATCGCCACGCCTTCGAGGCTGCGTTTGCGCCACGTTATTTGCGCAACAGTTGGAAGCTGGAATTTCGTCTCCCCGAAAATCACCCCCGCACGCGGCCCAAGTAAGGAAGGGAGAGAACTACGCGACTGCCGCCGCCGCCGCCGCCTTCCTTCCCGTCGTCGTCGGACGAGGAACCCAGGGAGCAGCAGCTCGCTGGCTGGCTGGCACACCACCACCACCATCGCCGCCACTACCACTACCGTCGCCAGCCCCCCTCGCCCTTCCGTTTTACAAGGAGGGCCGACCGTCGTCGACAGTCCGTGAATCGTGCGCACACATGGCCAATTGCCGTACGTTACATGCACTTATACGGGGTGTACCCGAAGACGCGCGCTTCCTTAGTGGCTAAGAAGCGAGACGGTTGTTGCGGTCGGTTTCGAGGCATCCGTCATTATCAGGCTAACGTGCGCGGAAAATTAACAATCGTATATAGGAGTCGGTAGTTGTAAAGTCGGATTTGAGGGTCGGCGATCATTGAATCGTTAGCTTCATCGCGGATTGAAATCGGTAGAGTAAGATATCTATTAAGACAGATCCTACTTATACGATAATATATAGAATTACGAAATAAAATCAGAATTTAACGAAATCGTTAATCGAACGAGAACGGTGACCGATAGATTTCGAGCGGGAAGGAGCCCGAAGGAAGTCCGCGATTTCCGGAGCATCCCGTATAACCGCGTCACATACTTGTATCGTTTCATACGCTAAATTTAACGACTGACCCGATCAATTAACTCGGGGCTCGGACGCGAAGGCGTAGTTGCATGGCGACGCTCGTTCAATTTCCTTCGACTTCCACTGCGTATAGCGCTTTCGCAGATATATATAACGCTACGCAGTAATAAGCGAAATAAAATTTCTCGTGAGCTCTTTTCTCCCCGTGAAATACATCGGCAAATCGGAATTCAATTTCACCACGGTCGTCTCACGCAACACGCCGCTTCGTGCCACGCACTTCGAGGTGCATCCGACGCACCCATGCAGAGATCCCACTTTACGCATTGTTAAACGACGCCTTTTGCAAAATTATGCGAGCTCCTCGGAATCGAGGTAGAAGTGAATCTGGCCTATTATTATGCATCAATATACCGATTCGACACATTGCGACAAAATTATAAGATCTTTTTTTTTCAACCTGCACTCCAATCTGGCATCGTAGATTAACGATTGGCTTGCCATCCCTGATCATTATCGTCGACACGTAAATCAAAACGCGGATGATAGATGATAAGGACTCGTGGAAAAAAAAGATTGCCTGTAAGAATGGCAGACCCTTCTCCTCCCTTCCCGTTGCGAGACTGCCGTCTATCCCGTGCGGCTGTAGGATAATCAATGGACATTCCTAAATGTTCCTTGAATATCCCGTGCGGCACATTCGTATCCAGCGAACATTGCAGTTCTGAATGTCCAGATCTTTCATCGATACCGCGTATCAAATGAAAAAATATCAAAAGAAAAGAAACACAAGGATTTTAAGTTCATCTAACGAGTCAACAAGATACTTCAAAGACGTAATGCATGCTATGCAGTATTTGTGATAATCACATTACTTTCGATTCTCGCGATAGACAACGGCGGATGTTGACTGAACATTCAGAGGAGTCCCGAGATGAACCTCTCGGGACACTGTCTATGCGCTGGATATCCGCACACGCACGGCGGAGTCGCGCGGCCGTTTCCTCCGTTTCCATCGGGTTGTGAGAGACCCGGCAATTCCGCCGCTTCTTCGCCGCCGCGCCATTCGACAATCCGATCGAAGCGCTAGCATTTTTCCAGAGCGGCGGAATCGCGGAGTCGCCACCCCGATCGCTGTTCTCCGCTGGGCCCCGCGCGCGGCCATGTAGCGCACAACGCACACACGGGGCCTGTTGGGAGAAGGGCAGAAGGAGAAGCATCAGCAGCGGCCTTGAGGCTGAATAGCAGCCAATCCCAAGCCCCCGCTCGCTAAAGGAGGTGGCGCGGGATTGGCTGAGTGTTCTCCACGGTACCAACCGCGACTTCCGGACGCTTCCGGTCGGGACCACAGGCCGATTCCCCACGAGCGGCAGGGGCCCCTGGTGAGTTTAGCGTGCAGGTAACGCCGATTCTTCTCTATTTCTTCTTCTTTTTCTTCTTCTTCATCCTCTTCTACTACTTCTACTTGTTTTTCGCCTCTCTCGCAAGCACTGTCCTCCCAGCACTCTGTTCGAGCAGCAGCAGCGGCAGCATCTGAGAATTGCAAGTAGGTGCCAATGCGCGATGACGGGCTCTGGCTTTTCCCCGCGAAATCGCGAGAGATCTGGATCTCTAGTATATCGGCCGGTCGACGATCGAAATCCCCGGTGCAGTTTCGGTGAGTTCAAAGAGTCTTCGGTGTCGTAAAAAAAAGAAATGCGCGAGAGAAAAGGGGAACACCGTCGTCGTTCCCGCCGTCGCAAAATTTATACGATCGCTCTCGGGAGTTTATTTCAGATCTGGAACTGGGAGAAAGACGAAGGATTGGTTAGACCCGTAGTCTTCCTGCAGTTCCTATATAGTTTTGGAAAAGACACAAAGAATCGAAGCGACGATATAAACTGATCCGCAAGGATCATCCTCGCGCTATTCGTAGCATCCAAGTACGAACTCGTCGAAATCAGACCGGTTTCGATCCTTCGAGGCTACCACGTACCTTATATAACTTACACGATAACTAATACATCTTTAGCGTTTCGGGATATCACTATCGCGAGCGAAATTTTTTTTCACACAATCGGCACTGCTCGGTTATTGCACCGTGCGAATTCCGAGAATCGGCGCAACCACGATAAGTTCAATTCTCGATGCGAAAAAAAGTGATTTTTCGCCTCTAGCATCGGGACATGATCTCGACGAAATTATTCCGGTTTCAATCCCCGATCTCTCACACGCGAAAGAAAATAACCCCGGCAAATTTGCCGGCACATTTATCGCGACGTTTAATATTAAAACAGGCTCCTGAACGCAACTCGACGGTGACTGTGCAGCACAGGAAATCGATCTCTTGTTCTCCCGTCTATATTTCTCCTTTTTTTTTATACATATATATAATATATATATATTTTTTTTTATGCGTCGCGCGCGCAAAACGCCACTCGACTTGGCGACTTGGTGATGTACGCTCGGCTCTCTGTGTTGCGGCACAGGAAATCGATCTCTTGTTCCATCGTTTTTCTTTTTCTTTTCCCCCTTTCCTACGCGCGGAGGAACGCAGCAGCGTTGCCGATTGCAGGGCGATTTTCGTTGCGATTACAAGCCACTGATAAATCGCTGTGATATTCGCTATTATAATTTTCCCTTTACGTCACACGTAAATTACACGATACGTTCTACAAACTTTGGTATCGGCCTCTAATTTCTCTTTTTTTTTCGGGGCAATACTGTGTCACACATTCTGCGGCTGCGATACGTTACATTTGGTCCAGCCGAATATTTATATTTATCATATATATATATATATATATATATATATATATATATTTCTTTTTCACCCCCTCGGTCTCCTCAGCGCACATGAAACCAACGCTTCGGCTAATTTTTACTGTGCAGCTTGATTAATTTTTATCAATAAAAAAAAAAAGAAAATAGACCCTCAGACAATTACTCATATAAACTCACGGGCGAGTACTTGTGGTTAGGGTGCTGTATTGTATGATGTATATATTATACATATGCGTTAAATTACCATATATTATATGCTCCCAACTGCACGTACACTTCATTATCGGCACTCCCTTGCGGAATGAAAGCCTCCTTAGAATATACGCTCTTTGCTAAGTAGTGCCGTACCTTTAATCATGTCGACGTGAGTTTACGGTCGTGAGAGTGCGGCGCGGGGCGCCCATAACTCAATCCCACCGCATCTGCGCTAACGATCGACCGTAAGACGTACCATCCTCGCGACTCTCGGCCGGGATCTCGAAAGCAGGAAATGAAGCCCGGTGTATATATAAGTATATACCATCGAGTTAATTTTTCGATGTTGCAGCAGGCACGCGAAAACGCACCTCTTGTCACTAATAAACTAATCCGAAACCTGTTTTCGCGTTCCCGCAACATCGAAATTTTAATGCTCGTCGCAATTAAATCGTTATTTAAAAAAAAAAGACAGCTTCCGTTCGAAAAAGCCTAAAAGAAAATCGCCTCCCGAGATGTGAACCTGCGAGGGAAGAGAGTATTTTCGCGCTTCCGTTTTAGTCTCGCGCCTCGGCGAAACTTCCGGAAGATAATCGTTTGGAATCTCGGCTGATGTTCTTTACAAGATAAACGTTTCGGAAGGTATGCCGAGGGATAAAGCAGATAATTTCCCTTTCGGTGTCGTTCGATCGCGGCTTCTACGATCCGTATAGAAGCCGCCGTCGTCTATGTTTATTTTTCGTTCGCCATCCTTTCATCCTTCTAAGCCAGTGCCTTCGGTAAGAAAGGAAACGTGATATCTCCCTCCTTTCCGAGAAACGAAGGAAGATATATTAAAACTAGAATTTCTTGTTGAACTTCTCTTAACCTTTGGGGAATCGTACAAATTTGCAGCTTTGAAATACACTGCGGTTCTTTGTTAGGTAATATATATTCTTCTGCGAAGCATTTGAAGATATTTTCAGGAATTATATTTAAACCGATCATATAAAAGCATCATCAAATTAATATATAATTACAATTATGACAAAAAAATAGAATATTATTCATTATAATAGTTTTTATTTCAAGCAGTTTCCATACAATTTTATTGAAGTGACCGAAAATTCTACTTTATTTTGATCAAGTAATCGACTAATAATGACATTCTCATCAGTCAAAGCTATTTCTTTATCGTTACACTTTATTTAGCGCGAAAACAGACAAAAAAATCAAGTGCAGAATCCGTTGACCCTCGAAAAGCCGAATCGTTTTCAGAGCTGCGCGTTCGCTTGGTATCTCTCGCGAGCGATCGAGCGGCGTATATCGCTTCTAAACGCGTGCCTGCAAAAAGAGCATCGGATCCGAAGTAGAAAGGTGAAAGCGTACGCGAATCGAACAATCGAACAGAATCCGGTCGCGATATCTCTCCCTGGCCCGATTGCTCCCGCGCGGCAGCCTTGGATCGGTCAATTCTGCCGCCTTCTGGCACGATTCCGTTTCGAGATTACAATACGACGGCCGACGAGAGACATCACGTCGGGTGTCTCATTAGCGACGCGACGACGCGCGACGTTTCGAGGTGACGAATTCGGAATCGGCCCGTTATAATAAACTTAAAACGCGAGAGAGCGCGATGTCGTCGCGGAGGAACGTCGTTTTCCCTCCGAAGTTTCCAGCTGCAGTTTTCAACGCGCTCTCGCGTCGTGACGCCTCTCAACCTTGGAATTAAATCCCCGCTTGTGGTTCCACTTGAAATTAATCGCGTGGAACAACGTCGCGTTATCCGCTTACGCTGTTGAAGCTTAACTGGCCACTTCTGCTTTCAATGCTGGAGTAATTCTCGAGTAGAGTAACGTATATATACATATAGCCCCTCGTCGCGAAATAATCGTATAACGAAAAGCGTGTATAACGTTCGGTTAGATACAGATTGGTATCGCGAGACGATGATAAATAAGAAAAAGGGGAGGGGGGGGGATCTATTGTCATCCGGGTACAGTTAATCGCGGACCCGATTTTCGCGCGATCGAGCCCGATCTTTTCTCACGGGACGCGATTCCTGCCAATTAAATCGAGGCCGGAGGAGCGAATTACATTGTTCAGCCGAACATATAAGCCGAAATGTCGTTAACCCGTTTAATTGCCACCCGCGTGTGCCCCGACGTGTGCATCGCGTTCGTGATGCGGGGGGGGGAGGGGGGTAAGGAAGAGGCAGGGAGGAGGAAGAGTGCAGGAGGGACGGAAAGACGGAGACGCGGAGGAGGGAAGGACTCCCGGACTCGCGTGCGAGCCGACGATGCTGAATGAAATTTATTCGGGAGGCCAACGGCGGCAGAGACTATACCCAAGAAGTGCGCACGGCGCGGCTTCTGAGAAAATAAACTCTCCCGCGCTTCCACCGCGGGCCCGGCTCGCGCGATCTCCTCCGACTTCCTCCGAGACGAGTTCTCTTCCTTGAAACCGATCGGTCTCTCCTTCCCTCTTCTCTATCGCCTGTTCG